CAGAACAACATTTTTTTACAATGACAGCAAGTGGTGTTCTTACTACTGTACGTATTCTTAGAAAAGGATAAAACATTATACAATAACTTCATATGAAGTACAGTATATAAACTTTATAATGTCAGAATAAGCAAGTTAAAACCATAACCCATTGTAAGTCACCATGTTAAAGACTTTGATGCATAGAATATTTATGAAGAGGGTAGAATATCGTTGTGTATGTTTTCATATTTAGCTATCACCATCATCTACTGTGCGATCACTGTATATAAAGTATTACATTACAGTACTGTTTTTGTTTTCTGCTACTTAAATAATGTGATTGTAAACCTGAAAAGGGCACATTGTGTTCACAGGCTACAGTATAGTAACAGTTATTTTGTTATTAAAATTAACAAAAGTCTAAAGAGTGTACAGCTTAAATTCTATAATTAGAAAAAGATTATCCCTCAGCACTGACCGGGATTCGAAACTAGGCGTTTTCTGGTGATAGCCGAAAAGCACCACATGTGCCGTTAAGCTTTTACAACTCCACCTGGTGGTTTTACAAAGAACTGTAGTCACATTCTGGAAATTTTCTAAAATGCTGTGGTCTCCCACAGTCTCCCACAGTCTCCCACAGTCTCCCACAGTCTCCCACAGTCTCCCACAGTCTCCCACAGTCTCGCGCAGCTGCTGAACTAGGAACTACTGCAGTATCCCTCGTACATTCTGAGTTGGTGGACCTGTACATCTATAATGATAGAACCCTAAAGTGTCTAAGCAGGACATAAATGTTGGTTTACAAAGTATGTAGTCACGAAATGGAGAGGTATGAGGATGTTTGTTGCATTCTTTAGTTTTGGGAAATAGAGTACTGCACTTCATAGAATGTTAATAAAAACAGCCCACAATTATTAGTTCTTTGTATGTGGACTTGGTAAATTTAGCCAATTAACATTCTATAGAAATTGTTGCAACAAAAGGTACAAAATTTCTGGGAACCATTTTAAAAAAGCTTTCAGGAAGAATATGTTTTAGAACCAGACATTACCAGTGAATTTCAAACCAGCAGTTGTGTTCATATGTGTAGAGAATTTTATTTTTATTTTATTGTTGACAGCTTTATCTCGATGTTCTTCCTGAAGACAAAAGTCAATGGATTAACAAGACAAAGGAGCTAAGAGCACAGTATGAAAAAATTAAAGAGACAGTAAGTATGAAACGACAAGAAAGGTAGTATTTACTCGTTATTTTTATTGCACAATAATAACTGATTGCCTTTATCTTATGCTAGCACATAACCAATCCACGAAAAGCTGCTGGACAGCAAGACTTGGTTGTAAATAATCCGCTGTCTCAGGATGAGGGGGTGAGTGTGAAATCTCTTGTGGTTTGTGGTTTTTACTTACAGTTGTTTTTTGCATCAGGATAGTCTTAAAGAAAATTAAAAAAGGATGTTTTCTTCTGTGAAGGAATATGCATTTCTAATAAAGGTGTGAAAGTTGAAAACAGTGAATGTAAGAAGGTTTTTAGAATATGATTTTAATTAATCATACTGTATTTGTCATGAAAACATATGCATCAAGACATTTAGGCCCATGTCTTCTTAAATCATCTGTTTTTCTCACAACAATTCAAAATTTCTTAACAATTTAGAAAGTGTAAGGATTATAAATTACTGTTTCAGCCAGTGTAATGACACTGCATTTGTATCTGCCCAATGTATAATGAAACAATTCAGAGCAAACCTAGATCCCACTAATTCACGAGTTATGATATTGTTTCATCATTATTGTTTCTGACAAAAAACGTTCTGTTTTGTTTGGCAACATTACTTGACGGTAGATGTTGAAGTCTGCATTTAACCGCCCATTTCCTCAGATGTTTGATTGGGTTAATACACTGTAGCAGTACACTATGCTTCCCAGACACAAGTAGGATGGAAATTGCCACACATTGCTTTGCCAAAAGTTTACGGAATGACATTAACTTTGGTTTTGCAGTAACTGAGGGTGGAGCACACCTTTTAGTGCAGTGTATTGATGTTGATAGTGGTGACACTAGACTCCTAAAGTTGTCAACCCACATGATTGATCTACTGCAGATGTAGTAATAAAGTTTTATTATACAGATTCCAATGCTTGGTGTTTTTTCACACTGCATCCGTTTGCTTTATTTTAATTAAATGAAATGGAAATGGAATTTCTCAGGAATTGCCACCTCTTGGACTTCCAGTGCCACTTTGCTCTTACCTGTAAAGAACTTTGCCTGGGATGCAGGTTGAACAATATGAATCACATGTCATTACTTTGGCGCTGAGTCATATCACTACCCAACTTTGCCAAAAAGTAGTACACAATCAACTCATTTGGCTAGAAACTGCAGGGATATGGTTACATTAGCAATGTAGGGTCCCCTTAGCAAAACGGTAACTTCTGCAACTTTTCACAAGCTTGCTGCCTTCTCCTGTCTGATATATATCCCATTCTCTTGATTGGGTGCAGAAATCATTTACGGGCTTGATGCTAAGTTATGATGTTGCTTTTATAGGGACAACTGTAATTAGGTTAGGTTCTTCTATAATATCCAAGTTAAATCAGTCATAGATATTATTGTACAGAAACAATCCCTTTCGGCAATCTTGATGTTGGGACATTACATGTGGTTGGTTACATTTGGGTTGCTTACGAATACATCCTTTAGCTAATATCACCTCTTGAATAGTTCTGGTGAATACATGAACCCCGAGTTCGCTACCAACTTTGTTGTACTATTTCTGTCAGTATCATTCCCAAGACCATATTCATTGCATTCTGATTAGATCTGATGTATGTTTGTGCATTTTATGTATTCACACATTACTTTTTGCAGTGCAATCATGGGAACATGCATTTCGTACCACACTTGTACCTGTGCTCTTTGTCATTTCATATTAGGAAGGTGGAGAAAAGGGAATGTGAACTTCTAACCATTATTTGCAGGCATGCCACAGCCTCTCATTACATTGTACAGGTTAATTGACTTGAACTGCATAATTAATTAATTTGTGAAGAAAATGTGTTGCTTCATTTCATTCTTTTACATCATGTTCATTACTTGCTATAGGTAGTGGATTCAACAAGTACTTGAACAAATGGTATCAAAATGCGTATAGGATCCAGTATATTAATAGTTCCATATTTAAGAAAGTAATTTTTCACATTTTAATAGAAAGTTACTATTTTTTAATACTTTCACATCTAATTATATTGATTCTCTATTGTGGCTTTGGTAGAAGCCAAAGTAAAATATTGTTTTAGTGTAAAACCTGTTATTTCAAGTATGAAGTATTATTTTAAGTATGAAGTAAATATGTTATTTATACATTCATAGTTAGCATTTTCTGTGCAGTGTTGTTGCTTGTGTAAGTAATAAAAATGAAAGATTTTATATTTTTATTGTTTCAATTTCTTCATTAAAACATTTCAGAGCCTTTGGAACAAATTTTTCCAAGATAAAGAACTAAGGGGAATGATTCAACAAGATGTTATGAGAACGTAAGTGCAAAATTACAGTGTTGCTACTGCAGTTACCTTGACCTGAGAAAAATTGTGTAGGAGTATTTAAAAAAAAATTGTAGTAAGTACAATGTTATGTACCTAAGTCCATTAAGTGAGAAAATTAGTTTATCATCTATAAGCTTTTTGATTATAGTTGTGTGTTGTTGTAAGGTTCTTAAATTAAAAAAATCCAGTTTAATTAATGACTAAAATTTAATGTACAGAAGAAGAAAAATGTATATACAGTATGTAGTGGACTAAAATCTGAGCACCAGTGTAAATGCAGGACGGCTAGTATATTGGAAGGAAGGACTTCCATATAGGTGTTGCTCATGAAAAATGCTGGACAGACCTGGTTGCCTGTAATTATACATGACTGCAAGAATGAGCTCGATTTCCTTGATTGACTTCAATGAAAGTTGGTTGTTGGGACACATCTGGTAGGAGCTTCAGTCACCAAGACCGCTTAACACGAGCAGCTGTGTCTAAGGTGATGTCAGCATGAAACCACATGGAAAAAATATCATCAGCAAAGGGCAAAAGTGGGTGAATGAGAACAGGATCATAATATCAGTGCATTAATTCAAAGTCCAGTTAAAGACAGGTCAGCAACTGCAGTTCAATAGACAGTAAATTTCAACCTGGGACACAAGCTGCCAGTTTTATCAAAAACATTTTATCAAGAGTTTCACAGAGTGGGATACCATAGTCAGGTTGCAGTACACAAAATGTCTCATCATGCCTGGCAGTGCACATTTGCCAAGAGCACAGGTGAAGGACTACAGAGAAGTGGAGAAATGTAATATGGTTTGATGAGTCATCCTTCACCATGTTCCTGACAAATTTAAGAGTGCACATGTGGCGCCAATCTAAAGAACTCTACTGCACTGGTGCTTGATTCCAATAGAGAAGGGTTCTTAATTTTTCTGTGCTCTTTAGGCACATTTTCATGGTGTGGGAATCACTGCAGTGGTAATCACTATGTAATGTATTGAGTGATCGTCTTCAACAAATATAGCAGAGTTTCTTTTTATGCCTGGAATGGCATCTTCCAAATGACAATACCTCTTTTCAGAGAGCCCATGTTTGATCAGCATTATGTTGGTCATATCTATATCTATGCGTCATGGCTTTCTCAGGCAGACCATATGTGAACCAAATAAAATGTTTAGGGGATATTCTGAAACGATGCCTGAAACAGTGTTTCCATCAATGAAGCATGAGCTGAGTGCCGTTCTCTTGGAAGAATGATCCTACAACCTTCCTGCAAAACCATCAGAATTCAGACGCTGTTTGACTTTTACCACGGCACGTACAGGCCATACTCATTGTATGTGATGAGCCCATTCCCTGTTTAGCCTCTTTACATTGGTTCTTTTTTTTTGTCCACTACCTGTATATTTCCTTAAAAACAATTAAATTAAATTTTAAATGCCTGACATATAGTGATAGTGAAGCAAAAAATATATAATAGAAAATATTTTTTAAAAACATGCAGAATACATTTAGATTTAACTCTCTGTCCTCATGTGATTTCAGTTTTTTGGTACATATTAAAAAGGCCAAGTAAAATCTGAATACATTTTCTACTCTGCGTTAAGAGGTTTGATTCCATTTCATTAAAGAAGAGGGAAACCAAATTGTAAATACAGTATTCTTTTTATAAATACGGTCAAGAGAATATTTTTATGTTCACTTTTAACCTTAGCCTTACAGCACGGTTGATTTTAACTTGGTTTCCTGTTGATAAAGATTGAACACATTTGTATTTAATTTTAAATTATGTTCTGTTATGCTGTCATGGCATTAATTGCTTTTATGGAACAAATGTTCAGGTTTTGTTTATCTAAGTTGAAGAACCAAAATATTTGCTAATAGCACTACAACTCTTAAATAATAACATCTCATTAACAAGTTTTCAATTTAGTTGTATTTTCTTACATTTTCCCTTTAATTTATTTTTGGAAAATGTCAATAATACCTGTGAAGTTATTACATTTAGTTTGCTGCTACACTTATTTTTTTGTTGATTTTTTTCATAAACTTTGAATATACACAATGAAAAATCTAATTAAACATATTTCTGTTATAAACAGCAATTAAATAGTACAAAGTACAGAGTAAAAAATATGGAAAAAAATATATTCTGCCATTAACTGCTTTGATATGTGGCATTTTGAGTAATAAAAAATAAAAAAGTGTTTTCTGTTTTTGTGAGATACAGTATTTGTGTCAAAGATGTAAAGTAGCAGTTTGTATCATTTATATTTTTCAGCAGCTTTGTTTTTGTTTTTTAATTGTGTAATATGTGCACCATTCGTTTGTGTGTTCTTGTTTGTGGTTGGATCGTGTACCGTATTAGTGAATGGCTGCAGCTCAAAGTAGTCAATTGAGAGGCCTATGAGAGATGAATGATCTGGGACATGACTGGGGGATGTCTTGTATTGTATATAGACATACTATACTGCATATACTGTACAAGAGATGCACCTCTCCGAGTCCCTGGGCTGTTTTGCCAGTGTGTGCTGTTCATGCTTCCGACAGTCTGAACGTTTGCTGGATTTGTGATTTATGATAATATACAATAATCTAAACAGAAACAACAGCACATGTATGCATGCAGTGGATTTAAGTTATTTAAAAGGACATGCAGATGGTTCACTGTCTGTTTTAGAATATCCCTGAAACCAGAGCAGTGTACTTTTCTGCTTCACACTTATGGGTATATACTGTAGGCTCTTACACTATGTTACCTGCTATTGCTTTGCTCACAGTTTGCTTACTGTTCTGTATGAAGTTTCATATCCGGAGATCTTCATTTTAATCTGGTTCATACTGTATGTCTCTGGAAATATAGATGAACCAGAAATTGACTTTAATATTTTTAACAAGTATTAGACATCCTGTAATAATTGGATTTCTTTTGCTTGTTTTGTTTTAAAGGTTTCCTGAAATGCAGTATTTCCAGCAGGATGCTGTAAGAAACATGCTTACAGACATTTTGTTCTGTTATGCCCGTGAAAATGAACAATTGTTATATAAGCAGGTAATGAAATGTTACTGTAACACTATTAATTATGAAATTAGTGCAATTTTTTATATTTACCATATATGAAAAGAAAAAAGGAATTATTCCAGCTTTCAGCTGATTTAGTGTATACTTTTGATATTTCTTTTGTCTGATTTCTTTTTGTGAAATTATTGTAAAAAGCTTTTGTAGAAAACACACCTATTTATAATTATCAGTAATAACTTAACAGAGGTTACTTTGAGATACATTTATATTTTCAAGATCAAAGTAGTCATTTAAAATTAAATATTTAATTGCTTTTACCTTCAGTTTATAGCTAAATAAATATCAGACATCCTTTGTTACTTTTAATTTAAAAAAAAACATTTTTGATATTAAAAGCATTTGGGTGTCACTGAAATTGCACTTTTATGTTTTCATGTGGCTTAAATTTTAATTTATAAGAACAGTGCAAGAAGGCCTTTCATTCGGTAAAGTCCAGCTTTACCCATTTAAAGGTGCTTTAAATGTCTTTGGAAAATTAAAACTCATTCTATGGAGCAGTTAAACGCATCCTTCCCACAGTCTTCTTTCCTTTGTTTAACTTTTAGTTTGCCATTAAACAGAGGTTAACTTTTGGTTTGTCATTAAACAGAGGTCTTGGCATTAATGTAGGATAATTGGCTTTGTTTTAAGTAGGAAAGTGTGGTTTTATAGTGTAAGTGACAGAAGCATTCATTATTGTATTTAATTAGTCTTATCTAAATCCTTGCTAGGGCATGCATGAACTGCTGGCTCCCATTGTCTTCATTTTGCATTGTGACCACCAAGCTTTCCAACATGCCAGTGAAACTGCATACCCGAGGCAAGTTCTTTTGACTGATTTTGTCTTTCTTTTGTTTAAATATGACTATTTCTATTTATTGTTTAAGATGAGTAGTTAAAATAGATATGTTTTTTTTATTTTTGTGAATGCCTACGTTTAGTATAAATTAGATGAAGAGTGTTTTGTAGTTTTATCTGTAATATCCTGAATATTAAAAAAATGAATGTAATGTTTACATTCAATTAAAATGAATATGGCTTGTTGGAAAATCTGATGTATTCATTCTTTTCTTTCATAATGTGGTTCTAATAATGAGATGCTCTAACATTTATTATAGGTTATGCAAAGATAGAACCTTCTAATACAGTGTTGGTTTTATTTTACAGTGAAGAAATGAAATCGCTACTAAACCCTGCATTTCATGAACATGATGCCTAGTAAGTACAATACAACAAAAAACAAAGAGACTTCTTTTAATGCATGTTAGGTTTCCATGCTTACTACTTGGATATGTGATAGTGGTTAACACCTGCATCTTGTTTTTCTCCATAGTTTCAATAATATTTTGGATCTTCTGTATAAAATGTTAGCTGATTTGTGTCTACATAAACCTAAAAAAAAATATTAAATTTTATAACCCATAGCTTTTATAATGCCCATGAGAGGCATTATTTATAGAAAGTAAATGTCTAAAAGATTTTTCATTTTGTTACACAGTAGAAAGTGAATTACAGTAGATTTTGCATTTTACACAAAATATTTTTACACAATTCCGTGTATACAGTACATGGTCGGCAACAAACAATAAATGAAAAAATCAAATAATGCAGGAAATTTCACAAATTCAAATCTGGTGTTGCCAATACTGTACCAGAGCTATGCTATGAGAACTAGTTACAGAGCTTATAGCACGTCGGTACTTCCTTTATCGGTGCTTTCTTTCTTGTGCAGCATCACACTCAATATGGCTTATAAACTGAAAACAAATACGAAGGGGAAACAAAACAAATGCGAAGGAGAAAGCCAAGCAAAGAAAAGTGCTTGATTAGGAGTTAAAAACTGAGAAAATTGTTTTTAAAAAGTTAAAGGGTTGGATAACAGTGATTAGTTTGTATGTATGTCTCGAATGTATCTTTGATTCAGAGACATGACAGTAATGAGAGCTACGCACCAGCTGTTTTTCCTTCATTTTATTATTAATTTGATTTGATCAATTATGTATACTTTACAGCTCTGTATTTGCTATATTACTGTTTTCATAATACTTTAAACTACATATAATACACTTACACTTGATTTTACTTGTTTAAGGGAGGGGAATAGGAGGGTCCAAAGGGCATGTTCTGATTAAACGCAATATGGGGTACAGTATATGCGCTATGTTACGTACCTAACTACAGCGTAAAACGTGAGTCTACTGTTCATCTCAAAATTGTGAACTACCTGCAGTTCTAATTTAATTGCAATTCATCATATTTGTCAATCAGGCTAATCATAACATTTCAGGTATGTTTCTCTTCATTGCCATATTGGAGCAACCATGGTGCCTTGCAAAAGTATTCACCCCCCTTGAACGCTTTTACAATTTATTGTGTTGGAAGCATGATATATTTAAACTGAGAATTTTCCCACTCATCAACACAAAGTACTCTATAATGTCAAAATGGAAAAAAAAATCCAGACATTTTAATAAATTATTTTACAAATAAAAAACAGAAAATAATAGAATGCATAAACATTTACCCCTTTGCTTTGACACACCTTAATTACCCCTGAAGTAACCAACTCTGTTCTCCAAGTTGCATAAATTGAGGTGTTTCACATGATTTCAGAATAAATACATGTTTGTCTGGGAGCTTCCCCACTTAGTGCATTTCCAAGGAAACAGTACACCATGAAGACCAAGGAACATTCCAAGCAGATCCGAGACAAGGTTCTTGAAAAATACCAATTAGGGCAAGGATACAAAAATCCAATAAAAGAATCCAATGTTCCAAGGCATTGAATATACCTCGATGCACAGTGAAGTCCATCATTAAAAAGGTGAGAAAATATGGAACAACTGTGAATCTGCCCAGAACTGGTGGTGGCAGCATCATGCTTTGAGGATACTTCTCTACAGCAGGGACTGGAGAACTCATAAAGATAGAAGGAAAAATGGATGAAGCTAAATACAGAAAAATCCTGGAGGAAAACATGCTGCAATTCGCAAGAGCACTGGAACTTGTAAGACCTTCCAACAGGCTAATGATCCAAAACATACAGCCGTAGCCACACTGGAGTGGCTTAGAACCAAAAAGGTTAATGTCCTAGAGTGGCCCTGTCAAAGCCCAGACCTCAATCCAATTGAGCATGTGTGGAATGACTTAAAAATTGCTGTTCACAAACGGTCCCCATCCATCTTGATGGAGTTTGAGCAATTTTGCCAAGAAGAATGGTCAAAAAATTCCAGTGCCAAGATGTGCAATGCTGATAGAGACCTACCCAAAGAGACTCACCGCTGTAGTTGCTGCCAAAGGTGGTCCTATCAAGTATTAACTCTGGAGAGGAGGGTGAATACTTATGCATTCAATTATTTTCTGTTTCAATTGGTAATTAATTTAGTAAAATGTCTGGATTTTTTTTTTCACTTTGACATTATAGAGTACTTTGTGTTGATGAGTAGCAAAAATTCTCAGTTAAATACATCATGATTCCATGCTGTAACACAATAAAATGTGAAAAGCCCAAGGGGGGTAAATACGTTTGCAAGGCACTGTATTCCACTGTTCGTTTTCCTAAACTTTGTCTACTGTTTCGGACAAACATCTTCAATTTCAAACCAAGATCTTAAAATATACAGTTTGTTATTATGTTGCAGTTCATGTCACTCTAGACTCTGGAATTTGCTATAAAGATGTGTTTATATCCAATCCCCTACTTAATAATTCTGTAATTTATCATTGATGGCAGAAACAACAGTGATTAACATTCAGTAACTATGATCCTGTTTGTTGTGCAGTTTTGCACTTCTAGTGAAATCTTACACCAAAGTATTTTCATCCTGTTTTATTTAAAAAAAAATATTGTTCAAAAAGTATTTATTATTAAATGAAAAGTGGTAAATTCTTAATTCAGTTTGTATAATGCATGATCATTAACATTCTTAATGATGTATTTAACCCAGTTCAACTCATTTTAGTGTTGTTCACAGACTGTTAAGTCTTTGTATTGGAAAATATTTATTTTGATGAGGAATTCTTTTTAGAGAAAAAAAACATCATAATCAAAAATATTATTTCAAATCTTTATAGTCAAAGCTTAATTTCACATGGTACTTTTGAGGTAGGCATGAATTGTACTCAATGTTTGGTCAGCTTTGGTTTCTCATAGAGAGTCAGTCATTTCCATTTATAGACCCACTCAACGGCCCTCTCATGCTTTTCTTCAGTGACTCTATTGGAGTAGTATGTCATGAAAGACTTAGAAGATAATAGATGTAAAACTAAATGTCTTGATGCAATGCTGCATCATAACAAAAGTTTTTTTTTATATCCTCAGTGCTATGTTCTCACAGCTTATGGAAACAGCTGAACCGTGGTTTTCAACCTTTGAACGTCAGGTTCGAAAGGTAAGTTTTAACTGTCAAAATGGCAAATTTCCTTCCTCCTCAGCAAATTATATCTATTAACAGAAGAGAACATTATCATGCGGTTCCTTTCCTTGATACTGGGGTGGTCATCTTTTTCTTTCCTTTAGCTGAGATTACAAATTGCTGTTAATCTAATAACTAAGATTATTTTTATTACTTAGGGTTATGTATCCAAAGAAACATTAGGCCTTCACTTTATTATTCAATTCCCAAATATTCCAAAGTTCCCAAGATGGAACTGAAAATTCTTAATCACTGGTCACATTATAGGTCTAATTAAGTGATCACATTCTGTCTATATTATCCATGAAAAATGTAAATTAATTTAACAGTCAGAGGAGAGTAGAAAAATTTCTTAGACTTCACAGTGGCATGATACTATGTTCCCATAGAATCGTATAATCTCTTGAAACCATCAGTCCATTGTTTTACAGAAAGCCAGCTCTGCAGAGTGCATGTGGTTTGCTATCAGGGTATCAAAGATTGTGCTGGAAAATATGCATTTTATTGTGACGAGAAGTGGGCTACCTAAATGTCTACAGTTACCCAAATTCTACCACCTTCTACTTGCGAATTATGTTTTTGGGCAGGTCACGTGTAATAGATCCCATACAGCAATCTGAGCCCCTACTGGTGTCATTTCAAGTCTTGAGACTTGTGAAAGTGGTGATCATGATCTGAGCTGTATTTTAAGTGTAACAGACATTATAGAATATATTTTAGCATCCTTAGTGGGATGTTGAAACCATCATTAATGCCCAAGGTGAGATGGCTTACTATAATTGTATTATGTTTCTGGAAAAGAGGTGTGATTTATAAGACCACATTTAATATGATTTACAAATATAAAGTTAATATTTTTTAATGATAGTAATGATCATTACAATTTGCAAAAAGTGATTTTAATGAAAAGATTACATTAATGAAACAAACGTAATGTTCAGACAAACAACTTACACTCCTTTTAAAAGTCCATTTTTCATTTTGGGTTTTCATACTGTGGCATTGACATCTTTGGTAGTAAGGCTTAAGAAAACTTGAATTATATTAGAGTTCCGGAACTAAGATCATACTCTTTCACATGCAGTCACTATTGAGGTTAAGGTACAGTGAGTTACATATAAAGTTTTATAATGAGTGGTATAAACCTAATGGGATTAGAACATTGAGATTGCTGCCTCAGTATGATTGATAAGATTATACTGAAAGCTAAAAGACATCTTAGTTGAAAGCAGAATTAATGGATAATTGTTCAAGGCTTCTACCAAACTTCTTATCCGCACATCTAACCCATGTAATAGTAAAATGGATTTAAATCCTTTTTTGTTAAAGAAAAAATGTGGTGTGTTTCATTTTCAAGATTTTGAATGTAATAACTATGCTGGTTTCTTGTTAATCAAAAGTAATATTGTTCATTTGATAGTAATTATTACATTTTCCTGTACCCAGTCTGGGGAGTGGAGTCACTTAAAATGAAAAGTCATCCACATAGATATACTGTATAGCAGGTTTAAAAAAAAAGTAAACAGGAATTTAAGGTAATAAGTGGTTAGCTGTGCTTTTAGTTTTTGTGTTTTGACAGGTTGCTTCCTGGTTGCATAGAAGCAATATTAATGCTGGGGTTCTGTAGGAGTGCATTTTGAGGATCATATTTTACTTCCTGCATCTGCAAAAAAAAACAGACATTTTCTTTCCATGCTCTATTTTTTAACTCTGTTGTAGCCACTCAATCACTGAGGGAATTTGTCTTCCCCATAAATCATTTGTAGACAAAAAACAGTTCACTATACATAAATGGTTGAGACAAATTCAAATCGTTTGTCTTAAGATTTTGTATGTAAAACGTCTGCTTGTATTGAGATTACATCAAGGCCTTTAACATTATAAACTATTAATTATGAACTATAATATAGTTGTTTTATCCTTCTCAAAGGATTCAGTTTGTTGAGTTATTCAGATGAAAGACATCTGACCCTTTTATATTCTGTGAAATTGGGAAGCAAACATGAAAATAAATTTGTGCAATATTTTGTAGACATTGCCTAAACTCCCACTTTTTTTAAGGGTTCATTTGTTTTCTTTTGAAAGCGGTAAAAAGTCCAAATAAAGTTGTTAATGATTGTTTTCTTGTTTACATTTTTTTCCTCAGGGAAAGGAAGAAATGATTACAAGTATACCCTTTGCCAGGCCACAAGACACAGGGCCATCTGTGGCCGTTGTAACAAAAGTTAATCGGATTCAGGATCAGCTGATAAAGAAACATGACATTGAACTCTACATGCACCTCAATCGGCTTGAAATAGCTCCACAAATATATGGCATGTGAGTATTTCTTTGCAATATAAAATCAGATGTAGCACTAATATTTATAGTGACTAACTCACTCACTAGTGTGAAATGTTCTTAACTTATATTGAAATATGCTCAGTGAGAGAGTGTGCTTGTACAAGTGAGAAAGAAGCAATTGTCCTAGAGCAACAAGCAGGTCAGAGCTCTTTATAGACCATTGCAAAATCAGGCAAGGTCGCTTTTCTTGATATATTAAAATGTATTTATTTAGCTTTGTATAGAATATGGAATATATGGTAACATCAAAGCTTTTCACTTTTTTTTCAGTTAACTTTTCTTAGTAGAGGTGCCTGTAGCAGGAAAGGTTACTGGGTCTGTTAGAGGCCAGCCTGCCTGACCATATGCAGTGTTTTGCTCTAGTGTTACTAGAGTGAAATTTTAAATAACCTTTTATGTAAACAGAGCTGAACTTTTAACACTTTATATAACTGTTTAAACTTTTGTAGTTCAGCTGAGCTTGTAAAGCCACACAACATGTGCACAGGAAACCTCAGTTACAACATTTCCACTGTTACATTGAAAGAACTTCTGCAACTCTGTGATACAAAGAGGCTTATTCGTTGCATAAAACTGAGTTAACTTGTGCTTTAGTGTTAAACGTTTTTCAGTTTACTGTGTGCAGATGACTGCAGAACCTGGTTTCAGATACATAAAGTACAAACATGGGCATTGTATGCACACACAAAAGCTTGCCCTTCAATATAATTACAAAGTTTGGAAAATGACATTCATGAATAAAAATTATTTGATCATATATATATTAATATAAGGCCATAAGAAACTCCTTTAATATTCTAGTTGTAAATGTGTTTTCATAGTTGTGGATGCTTTTGTCTTTTTTTAAAATGTCATGCTTCTGTACCATGTGGTCTAGTGCAGTGATCTAAAAAATCATTACTTTTCTCTCACTGTTTTAATTCAGACATTCTGTTTCAGTCCTTCTGCATGTTAAAGTTCCATTCTTCTTTATTTTGACTTTAATAATGTAGTTCTGCCAATAGCACAGTCGAAACTATTCTTATGTCATTATCCAATTTATTCAAATTCATTTTAATATATTTTTATACATTGTAATTCTAAGAAATACAATAATTGTTGTTGCTGTTCATCATACACTTAAGAAAATGTAACTACAATGGCATTGTACTTGGATAGAGAATTATACACAAACTCACATCAATGTGTTATGAGGTTAAGTAGAATCCACTAGCCTGTGACACGAACATTTCCCATCTGATGGTTTTAGCAGTCCGGTAATTCAGCAGGTACAAGGTCATGGGCAAACACAAAAAATCAACATGAAAAACCAGCTATTATGTTAATACCCTCAGTGACTGTTTCATGTGCAGCCTTAGAGGCAACCCATGGCAGTTATCCTAGTTCACAGGCTCTCATGTTTTTGTTGTTTTTTTTTTCTGTCTCCTTGTGCTTCTTCCAGTTGTTAAAATTATAGTGATTACCCATCGTAAGGTTTATCTGTAATAAAAATGCATCAGCTGGCCAAGGTTTTCATCACTCATTCAATAACCCATTAATATAGCGAAGCTGCCCAGGCATCTTTATAATAACAACTTGGAGGTAATTTTAATCAGCTCGACCAGCTGGTATTTAACAGCAGATGTTGGAGACGCCACATACGGTATATACAAAGTAACAGACAAACATTTTTTTTCTTTTTCTGCAATGATTTTAGAAAAATGTGCATGTGCATGAAGATATTCATACTGCTTAACTTCTCAAATAATTAAAAAACGGGATGAATAAATTATAACATTAATTCATTGCCCATTAAATAAAAGATTTCATTTGATCCTGGTTTTGATCCACAATTCCAAAGGATCCCTTTCAAACTATATTGATATCTGTCAGATTTGTTTATGTAGTCAAGTAAATAAATGTGATGAAATAGAAATTATTTAATTGGGTTAAGAGTATTACATTTTGTGAATGTCACTTTTAAGTCTAAAGAAGGATTTATGAAGGAGTGGTTAGTTGCCATTTATTATAAGTTTTTTTTTGTTGAATTTTACTTCAGCGGTTTTTAAAATATATTAATATTTAAACCATGTTATATATGCATGTTAGGGAAAAAACAATTAATTGTTTTAGATTATGATCTATATTTTATATATGCAGTACATAGGCATGATTGAAATTTCATAAGACAGAGGGTGGAGATCATACTGCTCACGTTTCTCTCTTGGATATGCAACTACTTTTTACACACAGGCACTGAAGAGTAATGGAAATGCCATCTAACAAGTATAACATCCATTTAATATGCTTTTTGTTTTATTTTTCCAACAACTTTGTGTGAATCTCTGATAAATTAACTTCTTGTACTTTTGTATGAAATGTTGGTTGTTTCTGAACACATACTGTTGTCTTCAGAAAAAATATTCTAGCTTCTTGTTCGATGCATATTGTAAAAAGCTTGATTGATCACCACAACATTTTTAAAAGATTAAATGTTAAAAATAATTTATTTTCATCTTAACGTCTATAACTTATTTTTAATATTTGTAATTTATTAAATTACATTATAAATACAAATTATTACTTAAACTTATAAATCAAACACTAAATATCCTTTGTAATAAAACTCCAGACTTGAATGCCTACCCTGATATCAAAGTAACAATATACTGTATGGACAAAGGGCAGAAAAAATGTTGATTTTCCCTCTTTAAAACTAATCAAGAGATGTTGCACTGCTTAGGTCAACTAAATTTATGCTTTTACGGTTTTAGAGGGAAGTAATGCCACAGTGAACTATAAAGTAGTTACACATAAGGGAAATGGAATTTTAAAAACATTACTTTTTAAAATTTTAGAATTATTTCAAAAAATTAAACTTAAGTTTTTAGTATTTAGTATCAGACAAAAATAGTTCTGGGAAAGTATGGTTAAAGATCCCTGCATAATGTTTATTTCCAATAATCCCTGGATTAGACATGTCTGGCATTTTGTAGGCAGAAGGTTCCCAATAGCAGTTAGACTAACTTTAAGAAAGGAATAAAGGTCATTTTAGAGTTCTTACTGTCAACAGTAAGCAAATTATGCAATACAAAACAAAAACTGAACAGCAGAACAAACACAATTTAATATGTTAATATTTCGATGCAATGTCAGAGTTCATTAATGATTGTGGAGAAGTCTGTGTACTTTTATTTTCTTTTCATCTTTTGACTGGCATAGTACTGAACTCAAAACTAAATTCTGTGTGACTGAGAAATATATGAAACAAATATTATAGATTAAATATTCAGTATAAGTAAGGAGAAATATGTTTTGTGATTGTCTACTGTAATTTATTTAGAATTTCCAAAAATGTTCCCTATGGCTGTGAAGATCCCAGTGATTGAAAGTTTTTTATTTTAATCAACCAAACAAAGCCCCTCCCTCAGCACACATTTTTCACACGTAAATGACTGATATGAAAGAAAGGCTTGTCTACAGGACGAAGATTGAGCACCAGAAATTAAAATCCAGCAATGAAACACATTACTTAGAATGCAATTTAAATAAAAAATTCTACTTACCAAGCAAAATTTCAGTAGTTTATTGCAAAAACAGTGTGTTTAGATTTGGTTAGCATGTTTGACAACAGACAGTATGATATATTGCTTGGCACAGCGGTAGGTTAGACTTGACTTGTACCAGCTCCTAGTGTTTTGATTAATGGTAATTGTTTTGATGAAAAGGCATGTTTTATGTTCAACTTATAATCCTGTAAAACAGGAGTCAACTGGCAAGCTCTATAATTAGTGCTCAGTTAGCAAGAGAATATGCAGGGTTTGTCCTCTGATACGTCTTGCCTCTGATTAGTCTTTATAGGGAAGAGCTCAACATTATTTTCATATACTGTTACAAAATCATTGTTTTTGTTGTTGTTTTTTGAGCTACTAAGTTTGTAAAGTAGCAGAAAATGTTCTGTGTCTAATTGATAGACATAAATCCTGCACTGGAGGCATGTTATTCCTTTAGAAGTTGAGTTAAGGTAATGAGATGCTTCAAGTGTGTCATGTGCAAGCTACAGTCTTTAGAATTTAATCCTCCCCTCTACCAGGCATCCTGCTGATAAACTAATTACAGTTATTTGTGAAGTACAAGTGCATCCAGTCATACCTGCATACATGACCACATCTTTTTTTCCTATTTTTTCTTTTAAAATACTAAATCTTGGTATTTAAAGCCAAAGAGAATTAGCTTTATAATGTGAATTTAATCTCTAGTAAACTGTTATTTTAAATACTTACATAATTTTTCAAAGGTTTATAGAAAGTGTTACTTGTTTTTTCCAAGTTGAAATAGTAAGGGGTTTGGACTGGGATTGAGCATTTTTTTGCATACAAATAGCAAACCATTGTGTTTCTGAAACAAAATATTTTATTGAGGGTGATTTTTAAAAATGCCTGGCTTAAAGAGGAGACATATTGACAGTTCCATGTCTGAAATATGTGGTGTTGCTATTGTTTTTCTCACTGTAATGATTTGATTCCATTTACTAACAGGAGCATTGGTAAACTACAGTTAAAATAGTTATTTTTAATATTGTTTAATATTTACATTTTCTGAAATTATTGTTACGCCCACCCCACTGTGCCACAACGGGGTGTGTCGCAGTTGCATTGGCCACACCTCTGTTCTGCACTGATCGCCGAGGAGACACGAAATGGAGAGCACCTGGCTTTAGTGAAACATTACACTACAAGGTGCTCTGGTAGGATCCCCCTGTCCTGCACTTGCCTCTCCTGCAATCCTTCCTTGCGTTTCTAGTCCCAGCCCACCTGCCAGGATCCTGAGCCATCCTGGCGGGCTGTCCTTTACTCCATGTGGCCCGTTCTCCTGGAGCCCAGCTGCTGATAATTCTCTTCTCGGTCTCACCTCAAGTTGGCCCTTCTCTTTGCCAACCGGCTCTACATCTGTGGTGCAGTGAGATGGCCACTTCCCCTGTACTGTGAATCCCTTGC